TCACACTGGTTCAACAGTACTGGACTCACCTCCGTATGGTAAATGGCCATGACAGCCGTTAACGGCAATCTAGAAACTTGAGATAGTTTTAATACGATTAATGCATCAGTTATATATATATATATACAGCTTCAGGAAGTTGATGCCAGGCACGTCGACCTTGATCATCTAATTGTTGCCACAGTTCGTTAGGTAGAAAGGTCTTGCGAGCAGATGACAAAGACGTGCGGTAAGCATAGTAATCGCCAAGGTCCATGTCAATGTTGAAGTCAAACATGGGGGGGCAAGGATCTGGTTCAAGATCACCAGTGGTGACAACATCAGTAGCATATGCCTTCCTAGGATTGGGCTTGGGCTTGGATCCTTTGGTGACCTCATCATGGTTTTGGGCTGCTGCCTCCAAGAGTGACGCATATTCGTCAAAAGTAAGTGGTCTGTTGTTGTTCTGCAAGGCCAATTGTTCGCTAGTGTCGAACACGTTGCGAATGTATGGCACAAGTCCAACAGATTTGACATTGTCGGATTTGGATTTGATTACTGTGGGGGATGTCAACTCCTCCCCATCAGATGGATCAAGACGTTTGTTGGGGTCATTGGGTGAGGCTGCAGAGCGGATCTCAGACCGAAACAGGATTTTGTTTGTCTCCAGGTTGAGGATCTTGTATGTCATTGCATGACCAACATGCTCGGCGATGCCTACCATATAACCAATGGATTCAGGCGAATCAGAAGGGAAGCTGGGTTCCTCCGTTTTATAGTATACCTTCTCGAAAAATGCAAAGCGGAGAAGAACACTTATGTCTGGAGTAATGCCAGTGAGCACTTGGATGGGAGTCAGCCATCCTAAGCTCTGCACAGCAGTGTGGTTGTAGACAAAAGAAGCGTAACGAAGTGCCAAAAGCCAAAGACTTGGAGGTGCTCCAGTTCGATCTAGAATCCTGTTGGCCAGTCGCTTGATGTCTTGGTACCTTCGTTCGGCCGGGTTTTGGTTCTGACGATGTGGTTCACTCTGCCAATCATCAATGCAGAGCCATCGGAGGTAGTCCTTCACTGCCTTGGAAACCTCAGCCTGCGCACGATCGCTCACAAGTTTGTTGGGTGCTCCTCGTTTTCGTACATTATCTTGGAGTGTCTGAAGGAATTGTGCATCGGTATTGACACCATAGACGTCACTGACAAGAGAGGAGATCCCCACATAGAATTGTGCCGCTACATGACCATGTTCAATGTCGGGTGTGTCTGCATAGACAGTATCTGTAGCAACTCCTTCACTACGTCGGTTGACATTGAGGGCTGGAAACGGAGAACGGTAATGACGCTGTAGGTGTGCACTCATAGGTATTCGTGCTAGTTGTGTGGTACAGTCGAATGTTTTCTGAATAACCAGCTTGGGTAGCCAAGCAAAGTATTTGCGAAGGCGTTCCCAGTCACGTTCACGCGATTTTACCGCTGAGCTCGGGTTCTTGTAGACAGGTTCCACTACAGGGACCGACTCATAGGCATTTGGGTCACGTGGCGGCGGGCTTGGTTGTTCAGTTTTGTCCTTTGAATTCCATCTCCCATCCTCAGAACGTGTCTTGCGGCGTGAGCTGCGTCGGGGTTCAGAGTATGAGGACTTGTGAGGAGAGTCTATGATCTTGTCTCGCAGTGGAGTAGACTCAATGTCAAAGTCGATAGGTGCCTCGGGGACAAAGAGAACAGATGGTCGTCGATGGGACTCGTAAACTTCAAACTCTGGAGGTATGACTGGTGTCACATAGGTGGGGTCTAAATCAAGTAGCTCAGCCATGTTGCACTCAAACCAATCAAGATCCGAAGCTTGTCGGGGATGCACTTCATACAAACCATCTGTCGGCATGACACAGTGGTGGGATTCAAAGAAGTCAATGGCATCATCCAGAGCAGGAGAATCCCTCAGTGTAGTGACTGTTGTATTGCTCT